TTTGATGAGTGGTGGGAGTGTGACAAGAATGTAATCACCTGCATGCAAAGGCTCTAGTGTTTAGTTGTCTAATAGTGTTGTAGAAGCAAGAAAGTCTTTCGACTTGTGGGTGACCACTCGTCGGGAGCACAAGAAAGTCTTTTGACTTGTGGGTCACCACTCGTCGGGAGCTCATGACTATGTGGAGTATACGAAAATGATTTCATGCTTTATAGTGGATTAGGATGATAACGTAGAGGGATCTCTCACGGAGTAAGTGGAAATGCTCACCCCATTTATTTTCCACACCCAGGTTTTGGCGAGCTGGCAAAGGAGCGATGGCGAGGGTGGTCACATGTTTTTATGTTTATGATATTCATGTTTTAAACGCTTCCGCTATGCAAAGTTTATTTTATGAAATAAGTCATGGTTCATGCAAAGTCAAGTTAAAGTGTAAGTTCTCAAGGCAACGCAATGAATGTTCATGTTCAGTCAAAAGTCATGGAATGTTCTATGTTCACGTATGAAATGTTTATGTTCATGAAAAGTTTTAATGTTTATGAAAAGATCATGTATGAAAAGTTTTTCAAAGTGAGTAGCACCCTGAGTTCCAAGTAAAGTTTTCAAAAGTTTTATACAAAGAAAATTTATTCTAGAAATTCAATGTACGAAAAGCGGGGTGTTACATTTACTCTTAAGAAGAAAAACAAAATATTACATCGAAAAGTTATGAAGCTGATATAGCCATATTGTCGCATAACGGTCCGAGTGCTCACTACCCGACCGAATAATAAGTGTACAAATCGACTTATGTTAGTCGATATCGGATGACATGGTCATATTATCATAGATCGGTCTAAGCGTTAGCTACTCGACTTTATGGGATCAAGAATGTTTAGTCGGCATCACTAAGTCGACATCGTTAAAGACGACTCCTCTCATGGATCATCCAAAGGAGGGAGCCTGCCTCAAGTAGATAATAATTCCATGACGATTTCACCAAGCCGACTTCAGAGGTCGGCCGCCATCAAATGACCAGCGAACGTAGTGGAGAGTCTCCAAACATGTGCAAACATCCTAAGTCGACATGACGACGCTCAAGGTCGACTTTCCATACATCGAGTCCCAAGACGTTTCAACGACTTATGACACTTCAGCATAACAATAGGACCTCCAAACAAAGGTAAATCTCCAAAGATAAGAACGAATCTGTATGCTGACTAAGAGGCAAAGGGAATGCGAACCGACCAGGGTATTTTAGACACTTCACCTAAGTCGGCCAGGGCACTTTGGGTACTTCAAGTAGGTATTTTCTCCTATATAAAGGGGCTAAAGTAATCCCAAACCCTTTCACTCTCTTCATTTTTCTAGATGTTGCTCCTACTGAGTAGAGCTCATCTTCCTCACTCTCATACTGACTTGATCGCCGGGGGCTCTTTACCGGAAACATCTCCGATGTTGAGTCCGATGTTGAGTTCTTGCAGATGTTTGCGGCGGTTCGAAGGCGATTTGGAGACGGTTCGAGCAGATCGGAGCCCATTACCACCGGTTCACTTCAGATCTCAAAATAGACCCATCAGAAGCTAAAATTGACTTTGTAAACGATTATGAAGTTGCACTGTTCGTCAACTGAAGGGTATAAGCGTCAAGGATTTAAATTGGGACATTGACAGTCCCATGACTGAAATCAGAAACTCAATAGTTCAGAAACTCAATAGTTACAGAAATAATTAGCAATCTTGCCTATTATACAGGAAAAAAGTGATAAAAGGTACAACATAGCTAGTTACTAAGAGACTTATTTTTGCCTGTAGATCTGGTTAATCTCATCTCCTGTTTTTCTCAGGGGATCCAGACATTCTAGGGTATAACCCAAGTGGCAATAAAATCATTATTTTCTTCTTCCATGGTTATGTAGAAAATCTATATTATGTAATTTGATTAGATTGGTAAAAATATGATGAAATATTAGTTCATTAAATGTTTCTAGTGATATTATAAATTCACATGAACTTTCTGATATAATTAATTCATCAAATGATTCAGTACAATGAACCTTTTTTAACTAGTATTCCCATTGATACTAAATTTACTTGGGTTCATAGCACATACAACTGACAAGTATAATAAAGTGCTTGTTTGGAAGCACTGCTGTAAAAGTCCATTAAATGGACTTCCACAAAATATCATTTTCCTGAAGTCTCACATCTTTACTTCTCTAGAATGCACTTTTGTGGAGAACCATCTTACCCATAAGTCCATTATTAATTTAGCACCAATGAATTAGTTATTCAAGTGGACTTTTGCATCCAGAAGTCCATTTAAGAAGTGTTTTTAACATGTCAAAAGAGATAAGCTATGATCCTATACAATGCAGCACAGCACTTAACGTAATTCATCACAATTAATAATGACTTTAATCCATTATTAATTCAGCACAGCACTTAACGTCCATTATTAATTTAGCACCAATGAATTTGTCTGCCCACACGCAAGGTTCCAAGGAGTAAATTATAATTAATTTAATGTTGTTAATATTTGGATAATCAGTAAGACATAGCACTCGACCTCCCTATGTTGTTGCCAAAGTACCATTTCTCGTGGATGCAACCAAAATGACTCGCCATGAGTCCCCAAAGATTTCATGTCTCTTTCATTGGGCCAATTTCAACAATTTTCCTTCTACTCTTTCATTGATAGGACAACCACAAAACAAATTTTGAAGAGTCTGAGGTAGCTACATAGTATACAACATTGTTTTGACCGTTGGCTGTTGCAGGTTTTTCAAGGATGTTTTATTCCCTCATTCTAAAGGGTAGGATGATGGAGCTTATGGAAGTGCATGAGATTTTTAGTTCTTTGCTGCTGAGGGTTCTGTAGCATTAGATTAAAGATTGTGTCTTGGTTCGAGCTCATTGGAACCAGAACATTTGAAAATGTAAAATCAGTTTGAGTTGGTTATTCAAATAATCACAATATAAGTTTATAAAATAAAAAAATGACTACAACCTGTAAATACTAAAGAAACAGATCGAGTAAAATCTAACTATCTCAACTGCATCAGATGTATATAATAGTTTTTTTTTTTTTGCCTGATCCTCCCCGTCTAACAAAAACATGCAAGCATTTACTGTTACTTACTAAGTGAAAAAAGCCTTCGCTATGTGAATTGTGAAAAGCAAAGGGAAATTATCGTGCCAATAACACTTAGAGACATATGGTAATGCCATGGCAACTAGTATCTCTAACTGCATGGATTAATAATGGATGATTGATTTATTGAGTCTGATATTGAACTAGAATAAGAATGACTATAGCTAATTACAAAAAAGCTTATGTTGTATATTTAAGAATGCATGTGTTGGAAGTGTGGAAAAATGAGAAAAAAAAAAAAGGATTCTTGTCTTAAGAGGCCAACAACAAAGAACATTGAATGTCAGCACTCATGCCACTTCAGAAAAATTAACAAGGATATTATAACTTTGCAGCAAAATGATAACATGAAGAGGAACTCCATGATAAACAGATAAAGTCATTGCAAAACAACTTAACAAAATTTAATATTAACGGAAATAGGTGTTGAAAGCAATGCCAAAAACAAATAATTGGCCTTGTTTGGAAATTAGCTGATAGCGGATACCTTATTGCATTAGCGTATAATTGACAACAGATAAAGGTCATTCTGCTAATCCTCTCTTCTCAAAACGCTCCTACATTGACCTTTTTCAGAATTAGCGTTTTGGGCTCAATAAGCTAATCAAAATAGGCTCTCTACCAAACAAGTTAATTAGTGGATTTGATAGGTCAAACCTCTAAATGAGGTTCAATCCACTAATTTTATATCAATCTGTTAACATCCAAACAAGGCCAAGAATTAATAAAAAATAACAGAAACTATATGTTTCACCATGACAACTAACAAAAATGCAAGCACCAATTAAAAGGAAAGAGGTAAGGCACTCAAAGACCAGAGAAAAATGACAAAATGAAATAAACTTACCGCTCAAAGTGCTTTTCAATTGTCTGAAACTGTTTCTCCGAAGAAAGAAGTGTTTCCCTCACGCTAATCAGAGTGCTGACATAAGATTTCAGGGATTCGAAGTCTTGTTTTACACGGCAAAGCTCCTGCTCGTTCTCTGCAGCTCTTTGCTTCTGTCTAGATGTCTCCTCAACCAAATCCTCAACCCTTTGTCTCATCTCATTCAAAACGCTATTTGTGCCCATTGCGAATTGTTCCATCTCTTCTAATTTTACAGACATATTCTCGATCTGAACTGTCTTCTTCTTAATCTCTTCCTGCCCAACCGTCACTTTTTCCTTCTCGGTGGCCATTTCAGATTCTGCCATGATAACTCTCTTGACAAGGGTTTCCATTACATCAGTAACCATTTGGACACTCTTAAGTAATTCATTAATATAAACCCCATCATGTTCGTCAAGAGAACCCTCCCGACTGCTAAGTGCCATCCATGTTTCCTCATCGGCACTGTCAAAGGATGAAATATCTACATTCCTTGACCATCCGGACAATGGCACACCATTTCTGTCCACGAAACCCACACCGTCTAAATTTGTTATACCACAAGATGTGTGGGATAAATGTGGGACTGCCATAATTCGGGCTTTGGATTTCAAGTAAGTCAACAATGTGGCACAAGTTTTGACCCTACGCCAGAGAACGTTTACTTCCTTCTTTGCATCCGCCTCTGACCCTTTTATGCAAGCCTTGACCTCTTTAAGCTTCTCTTGCAAGGCATCCAGTTGAGACTGGCTCCTTTCCATCTCCTGCTTCCAGTTGGCTTGTGTTTGGTCAAACTGCGATTTCTGAGAAGGCACGTGAATACCTTCCTCTCCTGCCATTACCTTCCAGATAATGCATATAAAAATTAGGGAACTTAGAGATTACCTAGAGTCTAAAGGTAAACCAGTACATCACAAGAGCATCTAATGGAAAAGTAAGAAGAATATCTTAGCATGTCTATGAGTAGTTGAATAACTTCACCATGAATGAAAGAGTGCTTATTTTGGTGCTTTTAATCAAGAAGATCAATCTGATTACATTGCAAAGAATAAATAATAATAATTTTCGGACTTGGTACACATCTTAGCTCCTAAAGTAATTAATACAACAAAATCATGCAGCACAATGAACAATCAACGCTGTTGAAAAGGCCTTTTCGGGTGAAAGAGTGATACATTCAGCCTTTAAGGTAGAACCTCAAGCAGAAAACCAAGATCTACCCAGAAGACCAAAATCCACACCATGATCTTTATTATTAAGTTCTCAATCGTCTGCACCAGTGAATTCCCACTTCAAAGTTACTTGCTTTCTCAGATTAAAATACATTATTAGGAGATGGGCACCTGAATAGGTATGTAATCGGGAACACAAGGATGATGTTTTACAGTTATAGAGAGTTCGGTGATGAAGGCTCGGGATCATACGTATGAAAAACAAACATCACAGGCTAATAATAAAATTAAAATATCCTCGAGCATTAACTTGAACAGACTTGCAATATCAAATAAACAGATGAAAGCATGTACATATAGCAGACGCGAGCAGAGAAGGTGGGTGCACAAATTCTTTCTTGCTCATATGAAAAACCCCCAGATCACAGTACTCGTTCTCTAATTATCAGTTAACAGACTAATCACATATCTCATTCTTCATCTTCGGTTTCCGATTCTCAAGAGTTCGAGACATCACGCACCTACCGAGAGAAATTTCACATATACCCAAGAACCCAACTTCATAAACGTCGGATAATCAACAGAATCAGAGCATTTCAACACATTTGACTAGAGACGAAGATTATTGTTCGCAGACTTCACCAATAAAAAAAACTTGCTCAATTTTCAAATATCATCCACTTACAATTTTTAGGTAAATAAAAATAAAAAAAAAAAATAGGATCAGCTACCTTGTCGATATCTGGGAAATGGGAGAGCTTCCGAACGGGGGAAGAAGACAACGACGAGGGTCCGCCGGCGATTTTCAGGAGGCAGTGCCCAAATTCAAGAATGTAAAATTGCTTCTCATTTTTTTATCAAATCAAAGAATAATAATGACAAAGCAGGGACAAAGTAAATGCTGTTATTGCCTTTTGTTGTGCCATCTGCCCTTTCGCCTTTAGTAAATTACCAGTATTCAGTATTCTACACATGTGCATTTCCACACATGTATATATAATATTGTAAACTATTTATATACATACTGTTAATATAATGTTAAAAATAATGGTATTAAATTCTAAGCATAGAGTATTATATAGATTATGGTATTATATATTAAAATTTGATCATTGGTTAAAATAAATAGTACGCAAGTATTTGATTGCATATGAATCGCTATATTGATTGTATAAAATATAATAAATAATGTAATATTTAAAATTTTGAGAGATAATGATTTGCTGAAAAATATTAAATTTATTATAACAATTGACTATGTGATTTTATGAAATTTCGTTATGACATTAAAAGAAACTAATTCATTTAAAAAACAAAACAAAAAGTTTTACCATATCATTATTTATGTTTATATAACTTTCATATCTCATTTAGTGTAAAATAAAATTATGAATTCTAATAATAATTATTATATGATACAATACAAAAATATAATTATTACTCAATCAATATAAAACGTAGCGGTTTTTGTCTTCATTAACAGAATCGGTTTTTTAGAAGTTAGGTGCCACATAAGTATAATTTATGAAGTAAACTTTATGTGGTAAAATTTATCGAATTTTATTTAATGGATTGCTAGAAATTATGTATAAAGAGATAGTTTGGCACCCTTTTCTCATAATTAATGCCCATTCAACATGAGGACGACTCAGGTAAAGAAAACTTTCATTTCGTGTTCTCGACTCTAAGACAAAAATTAGTGGGATAACCGGTCATATTTGTAACATAAATACATACTTGTAGCGATTGGTAATTACATAATATAAATTTAATGATTATCCTAGATATGATATAATTATAGGATCAAATACCACGTTTATATCACAAAAAATTTATGAATTAACAGAATACTTGGATTACAGAGATTGAATTTCTTGTTGCGAAATGTGTACCTGAAGTCAATCCACGTGTCCAATCGCCATAAGTACCACTTTAGATCATGAACATCATGAATCTAGATCAAGAATGGGGTCAATTTTATGGTATTCCTTAACTAAATCACCAATCGCTCGTTTGAACGACTTCAGGGGTAAGTCTGGCGAGTGTCGGGGTCTTGATGGTAAAAATCTGGCATGATTAATGCTTTCGACCTGACCAGTCGCTCGTTTGAATGACTTCAGAAGCGTTTTGATGGCAAAAATGTGGCATGACTAAGGCTTTCAAGTTGGTCAGTCACTCGTTTGAATGACCTCAATAGTAGATCGGGAAAATCTTTAAGTCTTGATGGCAAAAATCTGGCATGACTAAGGCTTTTAAGCTTTCCAGACACTCGTTTGAGTAACCTCAAAGATAGGTCAGGCAAGTGTTGGAGCCTTGATGGCTACTAAGACTTTCGGCTAGCCAGTTGTTCATTCGAACAACCTCAGATGCAGGTCGAGCGAGTGTTGGAGCCTTGATGTTAAAAATATAACATGTCTGAGGCTTTCGAGATGGTCAGTCCCTCGCTTAAATGGCTTTAGAGATAGGTTGGGCGAAAATTAGAGCCTTGATGGATAAAATCTTGCATCACTTTGGCTTTCGAGTTGGCTAATCGCCCGCTTAAACGACTTTAGAGGTAGGTCGGAAAAGTGTTTCAACATTGCAAATACATTTCCAATGGCGAAAATTACAATGTATGAGTTGAAGTTTTAAAAAAATATAGCAGGTCAGTCAAAATGGAGCATGGTTTCTGATTGCATTTTAATATAAGAAATTTACAAGTATAAATCGAAGACTCCTTAGAGACCTCAGTGGTAGGCCGATGGAATAAGATCATGTCAGAGTTGCTTGAAAATTGTTAAGTATGAAATAAGCTTATGAAAAAGTCTCAATAGCAGGTCGATTGAATTAAAGCTATGGTAACAAGAAAATTTTTATTTGGAAATTTTATAAGTATGGAGTGAAATAGTTAGACCTCAGTGCTAAGTCAACTCAACCGCTCAACTGAAGATTTTATATGTGGAAGATTTCAATTTACAATGTTTCTGGAGTATGAGTCAAAGACTTTGATAGACCTTAGAGCCAGGTCGATGGAATTAAGTTGAAGCCTTGATGGCATATGCATTTTCACTGGTAAAATCTGCTAAGTGTGAACATTGCATTTCTTAGACCTCAAAGGCAGGTCGACTTAACATGGTTGTACGAGTATTAATTTGTGGAATATGTTAAGTACAAAGTGAAGTTGTTTCAGTTAAAAACCGTGGTGACAGGTCGAGGGGATAGTTTTAAGATTTCTACTATATCAATTATGTTAAATAAGCAAAAGTTTAAGTCAATTAAGAACAAACAACATAGTGAAGAAAAAGGCTACATTTTATAACAAACAACCAAGTACAAGTCTTTTTCCAAGTACAGAGTAAAAGTACAACAAGATAGGACGAGCTACTGGGGAAGAGTCGACTCACCAGCAACACCTTAAGCGTTTGCACGGGTGGAGTGATGGCATCACGAGCTACCTCCCAGTAGCTTGGCTCGGTGATAGCCATAGCCTCGTTGGCTCTTTAGTTGGAGCTCCCTCGGGCGAAACCTGGGAAATGGTTCGACGTTGAGTGAACGAGCATGGAGTATGAGCTTCTCCTCCAAGTTTCATCGGGGAAGAGCTTTCTCAAGAGTGTTCTCCCACAACTTGTGGTTGATAGGAAGACCAGGTTAGCAGTTATAACCCTCGGCGTAGTCGGGGAGTTTATCCTTGATAACCTCGTGGTCGATGACCCTTAAGAAACATTAATCCTTGAATTGCGCTCGTCATGATCCAACGTTAAGTTGAAGAATTGGTAAGTAGCAAATCAAGCTTCTGGAGGAAGCTCAGACATTTGTAGAAGTCCTCCACGAATTGTTCACGATAGGATTTTATTAGGGCACCTCCCACCCAAGTGGTGAGTAAGTAATGGTGACCAATCTGACGACTTGCATCACCTGCAACCTTCACCTCCTCCTTGAGAAGGCTCACTTGTGCCTCCTTTTCTTTGAGGGCATAAGAATGCTCTCGCGAGACTCTAGCGAGTTGTTTCTTGAACTCGAAGTTATTCTTCGTCAGCTGGTCATTTTTGTTTCTTCATGTCCTTCAAATTGGCCTTGAGGTACTCAAGGGAGAGAGAATAGTTGTTCACCATCTCGTTGAGCATGGGAACTAAAGCAGAAAAGAGTTGTAAACCAAAAAGGGCGTCAAGAAGGTATTTATGAAAAATCACTATTGGAAAAGACCAAGGAGGAAGATGTACTTGAGCAGCAGACTTAGTTGCGTATTCAAATAAACCTCTTTGGTTGCACCCCCAACGTTTGGTTTTCTTAAAAGGCAAACCCTTTATGATGTAAGAGGTGATTGCCACCCCTTTTAGATTAGTGGCAAGAGAGTGGGGTACGTCGAACTCAATATGTTCGATGTGAGCCTGCTTCGAGCGCCCACCGGCAACTGCCGAGCTCGACCTTTTCTAACCAGTGGTCATCTTAGGAGAAGGAAGTGTAGGTCCCTTGGGCTTGGATGTTTGTTTATTTGGGTTGAGCTCAGCAAGAAGTCCCTTTGGATGACCTCCAATGGAGTTCAAGGGAGCCTTTACCTTTCCCCTAGAGGTGGAAGAGGTTGAATTCACGGACTTGAGCATGTTTTCTACATAAAACAAACAATCAGTTCGGGTTGTATAAAAATAAAAATCATATAGCTTAAATAATAACAATAATTCAAGTCTATTCCTACCAAGGTAAAGATTGGTTAAATGAGCTTAAGGTCCCTTAGCAAAGCCACAATGGAACAAGTGAGGTTCGCGGTCGACCATCAGAATGGAGTTAATAGAAAAATCATTCAACTGATGGATTATCAGGTCGAATGATGGGTTCTGTAGTGGAAGTTTAATCCTAGTGGGTAGGTCAGTTAACCAGATAGAACGAAAACGGAGAGGGTGGCAGGTCAAACAAAAAAAGAACTTGAGTTTTCCAACCCAAAGTACTTTTTATGAATTTAACTATGTTACGAGCTGTTAGGTACAAGGTGCCTTTTTTCTGCTTAGCCACAAATAGTACGTAAAGAATTTTCGACGATGTAACCTATTCTATAATGAGAGGTCATATGCCCATCAATAATGGCATCATCGGAATCGATGGTCGCATGAGAATCTTAAAAAAAATATACTATAAGAGAGATGAATAGGCCAAAGAGCTGGAAGTCAAAATCACAACAAATCAATTAACAAGAATAAATGGAGAAAACTTACTCATCGACAAGGTGGAACTAGAAATTGGTCGGCGGCGTCAATCAAACTCGGTGGTTGACAGTGGATTAATTACCAGGAAGACAAAAGTTTTGCAACACGTATATAGCAGAAGATTTAAAGAAAAGGGGGAAAATTGAAATATTCTACATAAAGGCCTATTTATATATATAAAAAAAAAGCCCTGGAGGTCGGTGAACTTGAGCTGTACGATAAAGCCCGGTTTGAACAATTGGGATTGAAAGGAAGGTAGGTGAACAAATGGTCGACTAGAGTCATTCAATACAGGTCATAATGGACGGATGATAAAAAAAAAAGAATTCAAAGTGACAAGTCAAGTGAAACCGTCTGATAAAAGTTATAATGATGGACAAGATCGAAACAACATTAAATAGCTTGTCGTTTGAGGAAAAGATGAAATTCGAGGTGGTTAGGTCGATGGGAAAAGACGGGTTTAGTCGATGCCACCCGCGCGGGTGGCACCCATTTTTACTGTACACAAATCACATCGCGACACGTGGCCATAACCCATTTCAGAATTTTTATTTTTTCCCAGCCCTTTATTCCAAATTCCAGCGTATTTCAGCCTTTTTTTTAATTTACAGGTAACCATGGTTTAGTCCATGTTCCAAATCTGAAAATTTCAAACCGCCCGCCCCAATTCGTGAGAACTAAAAAGTAGATCTGAAAATTTCTATTTTACAATTCTGATAGATCTGAAACATCTCTTTGCGAGAGAACTAAAAAGAAAATTCATCGTCTAATTTCCCGATTGAAGAATCTCGCCCGTTTCTAGAGAGCCCCGAGGGATTAGCCCGATTGAAGAAAGTTCATCCCCATTGCAGTCTTGTCACCCAATTCACAGTAAATTTCAGATTTTTTTTTTTTCATTTACGTGTAACCATGGTTTGAAAAATTGAATCCTCAGAAAAAATACTTCATCGCCTGATTCAAGCATCTCATCTCGCCCTCGCCCGATTCACAGCTAAAATTAGGGTTTGCGACCATGCTCGATAGAATTCTGATTTGTTGAAATCTCCCTCCTTTGCTTTCTGAAAATGAATTTCCTTGTTTTACCTATTTTATGTATAAATTTTGCTTTGTTTCTGATGAGAGTTCTTATATAAATTTACCCTAATGCAATTCAGCTGAAAACATTACTTCTTCTCTTTTGTTCTGATGTTGTTCAATTTATCTGTGAAGCTGGTGATTTTGCGTGAACCCTGTTTGTTATTTGTTTTGATCCCCATATGTGTATCGGAAGTACGTAGATTCTGTGGGCCTGCGGTGTTGAAGGTTGTATAAGGAAATGTAGATACTTAATACATCTCCCTCTGTGCACATGTGTGTGTGTGTGTGTTAAGTTTGTGTCTAATATTCAACTTCTACTATTTGGGTTTTCTTTGCCAAATACATCTTGTTGACAGAGATTTACATTCTTCAGGCTGGGTTTAGTTTGATTAGTTTGCTCATTCTTTTGCATGTACAGTAATATTCTAGTCGTCTAAATCTATGTTACATGAAAATATTTTATTAACTACCTGTATTTGAGATATCTGGCTTACCACCTAGCTTCAGTAGCAAAATTCTTATTCATTTATCCCTATTGGAAGAACAAGTGTTGACTTTTCTTAAGATTTGGAATATTGTACATGCAAATCATTGTGCTTTTCTCTGCTATTCTCCAGAAATGCACCTTCTGGATTCTGATAGTAGAGTTCTTTAGTATTCTTGATATACTTACAATAATATTTTATTAAACTGGGATCTGCGCAAAAATAAGTTCAACACTGCGATTTTTTCTTGCTTGTTCTATTCATTGAATTTGGATTTAGGTATCGAGTTGTTGCTTGGATAATAACATTCCAAATTCAAACTTTATTTTTTTGAAGGTTTGAAAATGTCCCAGAATTCTACCACTAAGAAATTTGGTGGAAGACCAAGTAGACTGAAGTATGAAGATAAAATATGTGACCAATGTGGAATAAAACTTGCAGTTAAGATTGTTGGCTCCCGAAGTCCAAATTTTCAGAAACTCTATTACACTTGTGAGAAAGATGGAAGATTTATGGGTTGGGCTAATCCAATAAATGAAGACGAAGTAAGCATAAGGGAAGAAGTTAGCACAAGCGAGAAAACTATAGTGGATCGTGAGAGCTACAAAGATGTGAAAAAAAAAAATATATATATTACTTGTGTTATTTCTAGTAGTATTGTAATGCTTGTTATTATTGTAATGAAATAAAAGAGTTGGTATTTTTACTACTTGGACATGAATAACTATTTTGTGATATGAAAAAAATAATTTTTTTTATTGTTCCATTTATTTTTATTTTTGTTGTATTTATCTTTTCTCTTAACAAGTTGGTGTAAACGAGCTTGCGATATAAAAGAGCTTGTTGTCATTTGTTAAAAATGTAGCATTCTTCATTTTTGCTCTTACCTCAACAGAGGCATAAATGTAGCATTTTGGTCACTTGTTAACAAGGTAGCATTCTTCATTTGTTAACACAAATCTACACATTCCCCTATTTTTTTGGTCTTACCTCAACAGAGGCGTAAATGGAAAAGAAAATTACATTCAAAGTGCACCATAAAACATCAAGTTGTAAAGCTATACACATATCATAACAATAATCTTATGTAGTCTTCTTTAAAATCATTGTTGTTCCACAATAATGATTCACAAAAAATATCTTTAATGCCATACAATCAAAGTCTATGCAAAATACGTAACTCCAAACAAAGTCAATAAGATGAGACAGTTGCATTTGCTAACATCCGATCACCATCATCTTCAATTATCGAAGGGTCCCTACAAAAAATAGATTAAAATGGCCCGACTCAATCTTCTGAAAATGATGTTCCACTCTATCCATCTCCGGCTCCGGCTCCGGCTCTGATGCTTTGGCCTAACATAAATCAAGAGGCAAATGATGCTTTTATTACTTTGTTCTACAAGAATATCAATAAAATTAATACTTTATTTATTTTTTTTATTTATTTTAATGTGTGGGGAGGAGATGGAAACATCAATGTAGGTCCATTTAATCTTTTTGGTTATCAAGTGGATCCACTTTCATCATAGGTACATCACACCAAATCTATTGTTTTGTAAATTAATATTGAATAAATATGATATAATCTTTACCATTTTAATCTATTTTTTGTAGGGACCCTTCGATAATTGAAGATGATGGTGATCGGATGTTAGCAAATGCACTGTCTCATCTTATTGATTTTGTTTGGAGTTACGTATTTTGCATAGACTTTGATTGTAT